GGCTGTGATTCAATCTGAAGCTGATGTTCAAATCGATCGTTTTCGAAGTTGTCAGTTACCTTGATGATAACTTGTTTAGTTAGTTACTTTATCTATTGGTCGGCCGCTTGCTTAAATCTGGGAACTTTGATAAAGAACACATTTACTGTAGAGACACAGCGGTAGATGCTGTGGCATAATGTTAACGCAATAGATCATGAGTGATTAATACTTCAGCTGAACTCCCCGCTCCTTGCCACTATCAGTTCTTTGTGATTATAACAAGAATAATAATTACAAAAAAAAAAAGAAATCTTGACGAAAATGTTCCGACTAGTTACGACAGAAAGCGTAATGTTTACCATGACCTTGCAAAAAAGGGGCTGGACGTGTACGATGTTTACGATGGGTAGGCCCACATAGATTCGACAGGGCTACATGCACAACAGTTGCATTTGATAAAGGGCATTTTATAAGAAGCCCTTACTGTCCGAGTATTTTTTCTACGTTTACTGTTAAGCTCCTTAATTTTGTTATGGATACGATCTAACATTGGCAATGTGTTTCCAAGTCCTAGAGCTATTAGCGAACCTCCACCAACGTTTTTCTTGTGTAGAATCTTTAATGATACGCTCGCTCAATAGCGTTGTTTCGGTGGCCAGGTATTAGAGGAGCCTCCTAACGGGAACGATCGTTCTAACACGTCATATTGATCGGAATGTTTTACGTTTCAGGATCGTGCAGAGTTCCTAATCTGACGTCAAATACATTTATCGATACTTATTCATGTCAATTTCGTCGTCGAGTGATATTACTTAATATATACCCAATATAAATCCCCAGTATCACAATATGATGAAGACAAACAGCTACGTAAATACAGTGAAGCATGCCCAATGGATGCCCAGTAAGGAAGCTCTTAAAGAAATCTCACGTTGTTTCAGGCGCTGTGTTCAGTATATCAAAATCTGTTTTTAGAAACACAAGCATTTTACTAATGTTGTTATTTTTTTGATATTGCTCGTTCCATTAGTCCAGATCGTAAGTTGGCGGACAAAGGAATGTTTAATATTTTAGTGATTGAACTCGTGGATGATTGCTTAGAACGACAATCATGTATAATTTAAGCGATGGGCGATGCCGAATTGCCTATGCTGTATAGCTATATCTTTACATATAATTCCGCTTTAAATCGTTACGCCATTTCTAGAGGGAGCGTTCCATAGTGTTAAAACATTATCACGGCCCTACTGTCACTAGTCGTCAGACGTCACCTGGCTCATATATACTCGCTGCAATGGGTGCAACATGGCCACGTAGGCAATCTGTTTCTACATGATTTTTTTTACCTTAATTAAACAATTCAGCCTCGATACGTATACTCTTCTCTTTTCGCTGATGCCTCCGCTCCCTCTCTCAAACGTTATATACATATATAATCCACTGAACTCCGTTTCGGGCCCCCTTCTCCAATCCCAACATTAATCGTGGCTAATTAAATTGATCTTCTCGTTTCTGGTGTCATATTTAACCGCGGACCCTTCCACAGCTGGACTGATTGATAGGCCCATGTCTGAGTCGGCTTGCGGTGGCCTGTACGCCACCTAACAGTGAAGCAAATGACCACCGACTGAAGTACGTTCGAGCTACTCTAGCGTTGTCAAGTCGGTGTTGCGCGCGACTTCGCCAGACGACCCCCGCTGGTTCTTCATTAGCTCACGGCAACTGCTCGATGCGACGGAAAGCTAACCCACATTCATGATAACGTGGATCGCAAACTAGGCCGTTTTAGCGTGCATTGAGCAGTAGTAAGGCGGTCGAATTCTTTCAATGGATATTCTCGATTTTGAGTAATGTTATTGCTACCTCTGATTCTCTCTCTTTCTCCCACATTTTTCCGTAGCCGTACGTAGTGCCGCTTTCGCTCGGCATCTGACACCAACTACGGTGAACGACATTCGATCGAAGTGAAGCGCCTTGCAATGCCACGAAGGAAGTGGATCGAAAACACCGCAACGAAGGCGCTGAGAACACGTCGACCGCGCTTGTACTGTTCATGCTTTGAACGAAAGCGTCCGCTGCCTTCAAAGCTGTTCGAAGAAAGAAAACAGCCAATCATGGGATATTTTTAATAATGCACCTATGATAGCGTCGAAGTGAAGGATGAACAGAACGAAGGAACAGGCTTCAGGTAAGTTGAGAGGCCTGATTTTTACCTACTTCGATACCTACCTAAATAAAGTTAACTCAGCTTACAGGTAAGTCCCAACTTTGTGATGTTGACTTTAATGAACTATGCTGTAATCAATTAGAGTCAAATCATCCAACATAGCGGTAAAATTTGCTTGCTGTTATTAACCAATATTTAGCTGGTGCTCCATGTGACTGAAGCAGAAAACAACCCTCAACACATTTTCTCTCTACGTTAGTAGAAATTAATTCCACTTTTTTTTTTTAAATCTCTACGCATTTGTTTAACTTAGAAACTCAGTTTGTTCGGTAGCTTTGCAAACCACTTACAATGTAAATGAAACTGAATAACTTATATACTAAGGGAACTTTGCTGAATTTTATTGCTAAAAACTTATGACTAAGAACCAATTGAATTTACCACACATTATGTAACATCTTTCAATGTTAAAAAGCAATCAACTTTTTGTGCCTTGATGGCTACAATGTTGTGGAATTTGATCGAAGATTCATGAAGACATTAGCCAAGAATGCCCTAAACGAAAACACAATATGCGAATGGTGCTTCCGTTTCAAAAACGAGGGTTAGAATGGTGAAGATCAATCAATTCAAGAGGAGGCTTGAAAGCACGAAAGCAAAATTTGAAGTCCAAGGACTCTGTCCACTAAAACTGCATTTCTTATATTATAACCAAAATACTGAAATTCCGGAGACTAATTAAAAAATGGCCCTTCCTCAGTTGACTTCCGGCGGTGTTTTCCACGTACAGCTGATGGAATTTGACTCAAGAGAAGGCCCGCCTGTAGTATATAGTCACTATAGACGCTATATGGTACAATCTCTACCACCAGCTGGAAAAACCCTAATCGAGAGAATGGTGATACTCTAGAGAGAAGTGACGTTCGGTGGCAGTGTTAACTAGATTTGGGCATAAAGTGATAATAGTACATGATATAGACATCAGGGGCATTTGCTGCTATAAGATACTTGCCGAAAATGAAATAATAAATGCGCCCCGTTCTTCAAGAAACTCATGGATCGTTGGCGTGGTAATTGAAAGCACGCAGTCTGGTTGTTTGATGACAACGCCAAACCTCAATTACTTCCTGGATTGAGCCAAGGAATATCCATCGTTGACTTCAACCCGCTTATTCTCCCGATCTAAGTCTGTGTAATTACGGGGCTTTTCATGCTCTAAAAAGGGCGAATGGTGGGTAAGTCTATTTTACTACCAATTTACTTCGGGAAGCCATAAACAGAGAAATTATATATCTAAATAAAATTCCTTACAGGTGGCTAGTCTATATATAATTTTTATGATACATGTTATTATATAAATCTCATGTATAATAGGTAGTTGAAAAAAACGTTTCACTACTAACGTGTTTTTGTTGATTGTTACCGGCTCTTTTAGTGACGTTCTCACTTGTACGCCGCCGTCGTCTTTTACGTATGCAAAAAGCCCATACAACTTTGGAAACAATTATGATCCCTGTTTGCATTATCATCTTTCTAATTATTATAATATAATTCTACGTAAAATAGTGTTGCTGCCTTATGTTATTATCGCTAACAGGGAACACGAAACATTTTAATGAGGAGTTAGACTACATTCTATGCTATACTGATAATTATAACGATGGTAACAATAAGGACTGTGATGATTTCTGTAAAGAAGTTAGAGAAATACGAAAAAGAAATGATGTACAAACTAGTCTCTAAGTTCTAAAGACACGGCAGAAGCAATATATTTAAAAATACCAGCTTCGTATGTATACTAAACTGTGTGTGTTTACCGCTTCTTCGCGTGCGTCTTAGCTGTCTAACTGATCAATTATGTACTCTCCAAGGGAACCGCAAGCAACGGTAAAAGTATTCATTTTTCACCCGCTCAGCTAACTGTTTTCAGGTGTCTTCAAAGGTTACTAATATTGTTATCATCGTAAGGGCGCTCGTGATAGTCTACCACCTCGTTAGGCGTCGGTTTCAAACCATTCGCTCACTCTGTTCAAAGACTTTCGCTGAACAGATTCAATAGCTTCAAGGATTTTCCCCCTTCTTGACGCAATAAAAGTGTAGTCAACTTTATTTGCCTTTTGCTTTTAGAAGCATGATACCTTACGACAATGAATCAGCTTAGAATTTGATAGATCTTTGCACGAATTTATGTAGAAGTTAGATGTCTTTAGAATAAAACATTGCAATAGCATATTAGTTCCTTGGGTAAGGTTTAAATTTGGCGCGCTCATGTTTCCCAAATCGACAATGAACCCACGTGTCAGAATCCAGATATTTATTGTCGCTTTCCTAAGCGTATTGAATTAATAGCACAGCTATACGATTACTGCGGCATCATTTTTCTTCTTTTGCCGTAGATGATTTGCTGTTCGCCGAGCGAATTCAGAGCATGATAACCTCTGGTGATGAAGAACAGTACCTCATGAAATTTCGCACAATGAAACATCGAATCTCTTTAACCATCGTTAGCGTACAGATGGGCGAGTTAGTGGAAGTTGTAACGGCAGTAGCAATAGCATTTGTTCTGCTGGTTACGTTCTAACAGGCACCAGCCGAACAGCGCAGATTGTTGGCCTTTGGCTACATCGGATCGCCTACGACAAGCAACTAGTAACGGTTAAATGCGCGACGCGACTACAAGCTAGCCTATGCTTGTGTATGTCTGTCCATTCAGGAGGTCGGAACAGCGTAGTAGCAGCGGCTCGATCGATTACTTACTCGTCTGGTTTCCTCTCCCCACCGTGACCGTCCTTTCCCATAACGGTCACATGCAGACAACGGTTACCCTATCACTCTCTCCACAGGTGCAACGTTTTGGAACACCGGTACAGTCCGCCGCGTCGGATGAAAGCCAGTTTGTCAGCTTGAAATTCACGTAAGAAGAACGACGCCGGTTGCTTGAAGAAATACGACAGCGTTTGGAGCTGATTGGCTCCTGCGCGCCGATCGATCCGAGTGACCGAAGACGGTATCAAACGTGGCGGTCAAGCACGCTAGTGGTCGGTGGTGACCAGATGTGAACGGCGTCAATTTCTATTTTGTTGTGCACAAGAAATCGTTAGTTTTATTATAGTGAAACAACGGGCTGGATTCCATTGGCATAAATACATTGTAGCTGTAAGGAATAGATGAAGTCGAATAGCAAATAGCTTTCGGTGTTAACGTTGGATTGATTGCTATATTACTACTGAAGACTGACTTTTGACCAAAGGATATATACTGAACGGATAATCAACAAAGTGCGTTTGCAGAACGACGAAAATACGGGCAGCGATAAAAGGTAAGATAATGCGCAGTTCTAGCCTTTAGTACAGTCTTCCAATACGTGTACTAGAGTCTTCGTAAGTATAGAACAAGTAAAATGCGAGCCCATTTCAAATGTTTAATTCCGTTCTTACGCTACAAAGTTAAGATGAGGTACTATTAAATAATTCAACTTCAACTGCTTTGATTACCGCGACGCCAAGTCGGTCGACGCATTCCTCAAAGCGGTTTTCCAAAAGGGATTCTCCGTTTCACGTGGCTGTAAGTAGAAGCAAACAACTTTAATGAAGTTGAAACTAAACTAAAGTTAAAAGCTCGCTTCTCTATTCGCGCCAGCAGGGCATTCGTTGTAAACGGAAAACACTATGCATATATAATAAAGACTTATGATTTGGACGTCAAAACCATAATTTTATGCAATGTTACTTTAAAGTTCATCTAATAGAAACTATTCCAAACGATTTTTGGTCTTCAAAAGTCATACGTCAACAAACGTTTACGTCATCAACAGCTGGCATTCTACTGGATGCTCCTATTTTCTTTTTTTTATTTTAAAAACGTCGGCTGATATACTCTTGAGAGATTAACAGGATGAACAAAGCCGGCGCAGGTTTTTATCTCATAGGCTTAGTGTAACGTATAATACAAAGCACCGGTTAACAATAGATAGGTTTCTTCTGGTCAAAAGAATCGTTTGAATAAGTACGATGCCTTTAAAGTTTATCGACGGCCCGAGCGTATGTAAATTTTCCATTTAACTTTTTAGATATTTCACTTCCGAAAGAGCTAGATAGGGGATATGGACAAAACCGTACATATATGAAGTGTTGAACCAGGAAACTGAGTTGTCAAAGTAAAATCTGAGCTCAAACCCAATGTTGTCGGTGTAATAGGTCTAATAGTCACATGGCGGTTCCTGTTCTCAGGACGACACTATCCAAAACAAACGAAAAACATCCTGTATAAGGGCTGTTCAGTGGTGCAAATACCGCAGGAGGAAGACACTGCAAGTCTGAAGAACATGCACATCTTCATATCTAAAACATATCTTTCCAATGTTTCAATTGATTATTTTTTGCATTATGAAACTAATGTGGAGCTTTAACGATGCGATTACATGTACGGGTCATAACAATATTATCTAAATATGTATGAGAGCATTCAGTCTCAAGTTTGGGAAACCGTTAGACGATGTTTTAAGCTATTTCGTCCGTAAAGGGGCTTAGCTATTCGGGTATTTGACTATAAACGAAAGATTCTCTGAGATTCGCTTTGTGCAGCTGCTGTCACAATCGAAGGGCAGTTGAGTGATTCAGAAAACGTCAGCATGACTAAGGCGTTCTTCATACAAAGGTCACTAAAACGTGTTACTTTCGAGTTTATTATTTGTATTTTTGAATTCTCTGAGCTCTATATGATGACTGTAGTGTTAGTGCTTTGAGAGCCAATAACGAAACAAAGAAAATTGTTTCGTGACGTACTTTCTTACGTAGCGTCCGACTCGATGCCAAACGAGTCTGAGCCATTGTTATTATCAAAGATATTGTTCATCTGTATGTAACGGTTTTTAGATTTAAACAACAACATATTTAGCGTAGCAGTTATTGTCGGCGGCGAACCAAATGACTATATTGTAAATACTAGCAAAATTGATTTCGGTGTTCTTTGTCACCACTGCCGATAGCATTACAGCCGTTCACTGGCGAGGCAGTGGTTTTCCGTCGAAGACCTTCGAAGGGCCTTCTGCCAAAGAAGGTTTCCAGTTAAAGGTTGGTCAGAGATTGTCAAGTCTCCAATTTGTTAGCTCATAGGAGGCGTTATTTATGCCATCTGTTTATGTGAACTCTGAATAGCTGTCGTGTGCGTACGAAAGTGGTTCAGTCGGAATCGGAGACATACTGATCCCTTGTACGATATTATGTCAAGAAGTATTTTCGATTGCTTTAAGGAAGGAAATCTGAAGGACTAGTTCAGTCTCAGCTGAATATATAAATAAACATACATCTGGATTTTCAGATCGCCTGCACCTATCATTAACACAAGCGTTATTTGTTTAAACAATGAGAAAATTTGAATAAAACAACGACTAATATTGTCAGTGGAATGATCTTGTCAATTAGCAGAATAATTATAATAAATGAATAAGTACAACCAACCTTTATCTGTAACACAGCAAGTCTAAGTAGATGCTTGGAATACACGTACGATGAATATGTATTCTGCAAAATATGCACCTAAATAACCAATTGCGATAGGGCGAACATTACATTTGTTGACTATCGGTAAATGATGTACTCCTGGGCGACCCACAGTCTCTCTCTCTCTCTCTCTCTCTCTCTCTCTCTCGCTCTATTCCCTCCTTACTGAACGTACTTCTACATAAGTGGCACTGAAAGGTCATAGCTCTGTAAAAGCAGTTTCAAAGTAAATAGTCCCATTTACGATAAAACGATCGACTAGTCATTTTTTAGGCCTAAAGTTTTTGATTCAGCCAAGCGTTGTTATTGAAGTACTATTTGAATAGCTTCCTGTTGCCCTGTACGAAAACGCCAGAACATTTAGGAGTTTAGTTAATATAAGAATGGGGAGAGAAGTGCCGATTCGCTGTACGTCGCCAAATTTCTCTTGCGTGCCTTCCAAACCTGATTTAACATATAAATTAAACGGCGTTTTTTTATTCAACTTACGGCGTTAGCTTCGCAAGAAACAGTTAAAGCTTTATAAATCCGGGTTTATTGGCCATGAAGGTGGAAGACGTTCCTGATTGCACACTTCCCATGAACAGCTGTGAAAATCCGCGAACAGATTTTTAATTTCCGGTGGCAGGGAGCTCTCTGGACCCAAGTGAGAAAGCTACAATAGTAATGTAAATAGAATATTCAAGCGTCTTCATATTTTCGCATTAATAATCAACTTTATTAGAATTAAAGGGAGTAACAGCTTTTTCCTGGTTTATCTTACGCCAGTCAGTGCTAGGTTGCGTTGGTAGCGACTTCATAGCTCTTGACTCTACGCGAATATGTACAATATATGAACTGCAATTATTCCTCCCCAGGGAACCCCAGCACCACATTTTATGCAACTTTTAAATCGTATATTAATAGTTTTTTGCAAAGAATTAGATAGAGAACAACAGGGTCTAGCGGTTTGGAATCCTAAGACTCAAGCAAGAACACTTTGATTGAGCTAGCAAGCGTTAATTTAACGTTTTTGTCGCACAATTTTTTTTTTAAAAAACGTTACGTAGACCTTAGCTGAAGACCACAATGTGAAAAAAACAGATATTAGTTTGGGCTAGCAAAGATAATACGTTCCGTATGGCATCGCGGTGCGAGCGCTCGTACTTGATAACAGTATACTTCCTTAAAGCAGCACAAAGTCTGTGCAAGTTCCAGCCGATGAAAGCAGTGATTTTCTCTGGAGAGGAAGATATTGTACTGAATCAAAAGAATTGCTAACATAATATACTGCTCCAGGCTAATGAACTAAATTAACCCAACGCCATATTTCATAACGGTTTACTTGTTTTACATAATGGACGCTATGGAACAATGCTACTGTGGTTTCACGATAAACACGACCCTATACCGACAACTGCTATATTGTGTTTGCATTACTTGCTATAGTTTGTAGAATGCGCCGTTGGTTTCCTGTTAAAATTGCATTTCTCTGACACCGGGCCAGCTAGTAGTTGGGTTGATCAGGCTACTATGAAACGAAAAACACCTGCGAACGCAACGAGGCAACGTGCAATGTCAGATGCAGGGGAGTATGTCGGGGGGGGGGGGGTCATCCTAGTTGGCTGCTTAATACTATCGAATCAGCTCGAAGCGTTCCGTTCAATGAACCTTTCTTTTATGTGCTGAAAGTGTTCTCTGACGATCAGCGCAGTAGTCGAAGAACAGGAAGACATGCTTTTTGCATTAATTGATCGATTAATAGGGTGAGAATCTTAATACTTCTAGGTTTAAACCGACATTTTTGGCCTTTTTTGCGACTACAGTGATTGGACCAATCGATTTGGTATTGGAAACCATTAGCGGTAGAATAAAGTCTTATTGAATCTCTCTTGTTCTGTGCATCGATCAGCCATACAATAACATTACGGAGAAGAGCCTGAGTGTGGTAAAGAAGTAGCTGAAACTCCCGACGATACAGCGGTGGTGATTTAGACTAACCGAAATACTTCTTTCATAGTTTTCCAGTATACATGAACGATTTAAATCTGGCGAAAGGGGCACTGCAAACGTTTATGTCACGCAAGAAAGTAAAAAGGATTGAAGTACCTATGATTCCACGTAGGGATCACTGGCAACATCGATTAACATATGGATAGATATCGACAACGAAATGTTTGAAGTGCCACAAAAACTAGCTTCTGGTATAATTCGACGAAGAGTCTTATTTTTTGTTATTGTACCATCCAGGTGCCGATAACTGTTCTAAATGAGACAGATTAACTTAGAAAATTACCTAATTCCAGGTAATGAACGATTAGGAAATAATGGTCTGATAATAATAGTAAGTAACGGGTTCAAATGTGCTATACAGATCTGTGTTACGCTATTAAAAATACGTTATTTATATATCCTATACCACTCAAGTAGGCTACCTATAAATTTTGAGGCTTCTATTGAGATTCTAATAAATCTGAGCGACTCGAGCCAATGTCACACCAAGTCCTTGTATATATAATAGATTAGAGCTTATCGAGTCACATTGCAACTTCTGGCGTACAATACGGTGTTGAAATAGTCCCATTCATATAGTATTATTGCCTAGACCTCAACGTTTCACCATTGACCGAAGAATTCTATCTATCATATATATTCAGATTATATTATAAACGTTTATGAGCAGAGCCTTTGTGTTCGTCGGCGCGTTAGAAATTTTCTCATCGACTTTTTTTTACCTGTTGGGTTCTCAAATGGTCAAGCAATCGCTCGCAAGGATATCAAACCTTTTTTTTTTTGTACATTCAGCCCTAGTGACTCAGTCGCTCCCACAAGCAATCCCTTTTGTACCGCAAAAACTCCCCAAAGAACAAGCTTCGTTTTAGTCCGCTTTTGCTTCAGTCGGCAGTTCATCATATAATCAAGGTTCCATAGTAGACGCAACGGACTCTTCGAATTGCGGTCTTTTATAACCATTCTATCTGGGTGCACGTGTATGTTATTTGAAACAGTGTAGTATAAAATTAGCATAAGCTTCTCAAATTTGTCATAGTTTCCGGTGAAGACATCTCAATTGCGATTTTATTACACCAGAGCCGTCATTTGACTAAAATCAACAAATTATACCTCAATGGATTGTAGAAACACCCTATCTAGTCTTCTTGCGACTTCGTCTGAACTGTTCACTCTAAAGTACTCTGTCTACGTCGTTACATTCGAAGTCATTTAATTGTCGATTCAAACGTTCGATTTTTCTTCAAATCTTCTCATACTCATTACGCATACAAACGATTTTTCTTATATACATATATATATGTATGTGTGTGTGTGTGTGTTGCTCTAGCCGTCCAGATAGCTCGTTTGGCATATACCGGAACAAACAGCGACGTTTAAGAACGTTACATTTTCTAAATGCTACCAGTGAAGGGACTATCTAAGAACGCTAAAAACCGTCTTCTAAACGGCTGAAGTGGACATACATATATGTTACTATGCTGTATCGTCTTCAAGTCATTCGTGAAGGTGACTTTCTTTACTTGTTGCTAAGTAAAATACCTGTTAACTTTAGTGTACCTTTTCTTTTTGTTCTAAGTTAATACTCCAGTCAATAATTATTTCGATCACCATATATAAGTAGTTCAGTTACTACCATGGGCTGGCATCGTAACTTAACTTGTCCGAATTCACATACACTTCGCTCAGAAGTCTAAGGCCAAGACAACATTTCATCAATAGTTTGGGCTCGTTTGTCTTAGCTAACGTTAGCAATGATGTTTGAATATATCAAGACAGTTCAAGACAGCCTGATGGACCCCTTAAGAACCTACGCCTAGTCCAACGTTTTTGCTTGTCATTGATGATAAATTACCTAATAAAATGGGAAAGACCTAACCCAGTTTATAGGCTACTATGAATACGAAATGGATATCAATCTACGTGTCAACTATAGGGCAGTTTCGATCAAAAGTTGATACTCCTAATAATTTAACATTGGGTTACTACGGTGCGGCTGTGTCACTCGCGTATTCATTCGTTACGTGAAAATTTTCAATTGTTTCGTCATCGAGGTAAACAAATTGCTTCGTCAACGAATCGTCTATCCCACGTTAACTCATGGTCGAGGCCTATATCGTTTCGTAATAGCGAAATCTTGCCACTGTAATACATTGATAATAATCCCAGCGGTTTTTGTTTTCGCCACGTTTCCACCATTAACGACACTATATCGCTAAAACTGTGTTCGTTGACATTTTTTCTTCAGCCGCAGAAATGTCTGTGTTGAGGGCTTCTCCTTTGATGTTCTATCTACTACTGCAACGTGTAGCAAGGGTAAACAGCAATAGAGCTTTCGTTCGACACGAACTGTTGTCGGCAGTTAAAATCCTTAGCCATGCTGGGGAAATCGTTACGGATTATTGACAATTCAATACAACGGGGAACGAGCATAACACACTGGATGCAACTCGTAGTCATGACTGCGGTAGCAGCAATAGCAGAAGCCAAACATCGAAGTCCGTGTCACTTTTTGTTCCGTAAGAGATCAAGGCTTTTGGCCTAGCAGACGATTGCCAAAAAGTTACGTTCGCTGCCACGGTCCGAGTTTCACAGAATTGCCTAACGTGGGCAACGGCAGAGAGAAAGAGGGATCGTCATTGAACGATCGTTCTTACAAAATGTCGTATGGTTCAAGACATCTCCGAGAAGGCACGTGGCTCTAAGCGACAAATATCACTATCGTGACTAGTAAACGTGACATTACTATCGGCAGTGTCATCTTCACATATGGCCCAATGAGGTTGGGCAGGCTTCAATGCATCTTCAAGATAATCTTTTAATAGTAGGAATTATTCGATTGAACTATAATAATTATTATTATTGCTGCTCGGCACGTTATGACATTGTTAAGGTAGAGTAGTTCCAGTTCGAACATCCATTGGAACGAAAATGAAGTTTAGCCATGCAGACGAAAACTGTATTAATTGTAACTTACTTCGTACGCTTTTTATGAACTTTTGTTTTTTTTCTTAGTCTTTTTTTTCATAGTAAAATTAGGTAGTCTGTTGCTATGATAGCAATTTCAGCGCTGCAAAAGTAATGTTATTTTCTAGTAAAATTTTTCACCATAAGCTGCAGTGATAATATGATGTATAAGGACCGATTTGATGCCGGTGTATAATAAATAATGATCTCCTCATCCTTTGCATTAACTAAATAGCAAAACATAAGATAATAACTATCTGGACCTTGCGCGGCAAAACATACACCGTAAACTCAATACTAATCAGTAGTGAAGTAACTTAGGCCAAATCAGGTTATGTTTACTTTAGCATCTGTAGACGCAATTTACGGCAGTATTGAACAAACTAATAGTACATTGGTCCTAGGTAACGGCTTAAGCTTAATCTAGTTGAGCTCCGGAGCCCCAGAAAGAAGAGGCGAGAGAGAGACAAAGAATGAGTCTGTTAGGAAGAAAGGCAAGCAATGAACTTTTTCGTGAATTATCGCTGCCACAATTGTTATGCGTAGGTATACATAGCAACTGCTTCATCGGCGTCAGAAATCGAACTTCTGCCGACCGCTGCCAACTCATCTCGACACGAAAGTGGTAGACACTGACCCAAAATGCCGAACGCCATCGGCAGCATTGACGGCGTTTATGGCTGAAGCAACGGCAACAGCAACGAATCGTGGCAAAATATAGAACACGCTCTAGTGGTGCTGTCGCTTTGCCGGTTACGCCGGCGGCCTTTTGCCGACGGTTGCGTGCTTTGCTCTGTTGTGGCACGACTCAATCAGACGTCCGTCGCAAACAGAGAAATAGAAAGAGGACGAAAAACAGCGGGAAAAACTCCAGGTCACTTCTATAGTCCGTAATAAACACATTTATATAAATATATAGAGGCGCATCGCCATGATGTCCTAGACTTTCAGTTCTGCTGCCACGCATCGCCTTGTCGCGCGATTCACGCCGCTTTGTGCACGAAGAACGATGTTTCGCAGGCGACAATTCTGAACGAGCTGCTTTATTGCTAAAATGATCGCCGCCGCTAGTGCAGTGAAGAAACGGGAAGTCAGCCTGGTGTCTGGTGATGTCTTCTGCGATGTTGCTGACGAGGGTGGAGCGTATTTTTGACTGCTCCCCTTCTCCGTGACGTGGTCTCATTTCTAAACAAATGAACGAAAACTGATGGTCGGAGAATAATGGCAGTAATAGTAGCGATAGTCAAAGTAGCCGTAGTCGTATCTTTCCTCCCATCCCCCGAAATTTTGGCGTTTCAACGCCTGTCAGCGTTTGACGTAACGTTAATCAAGATGATTCCTAGAATTTGGTGGCGTTGGCGGTAACGCAGGCAACAGAAACAGCACGTTCGGGGTATATATATATTCGCATTGTAGATGAGTCGGTACAGAATGCTTCAAAAATATTTCGGGGCGTGAATTTTTTTCTACTAGAATGTGTTGGGCGTTAGTAAGTACAAAAAAAAACAAATGTTTAAGCGAGCAGAACAGAACTTACGGTTGTATTGTCACCCGCACGTGATGTCAGGCGTTTCACACCTTTCCGAATTCCTCTAGCGGCGCACACATGGGCGGGGGGCACCCGCACTTTGGAACATGAACTCAGCCACACCTGCAAACACGTTTGCCGCTTTGAGTAGGTGGTATTGAACCAGATCGACTGTTCAGTGAAAAATAGAAGAGCTTCTTGTAGCAAAAGATCATTCTGATGGTAATCGTTATCGGAAGACCAAAAAGAGAATGAAAAGATATTCTCAACAATGGACGAAACCGCGGAAAACGTCCACTGCGGATTTAAATCAGCCGAAGTATTGAAAGCGCAAGATCTAGACCGTTACAGACCGGCAAGTTGGTTGGCAATATATAACAGATTTACATTTTTTGGTCTTTATTGCAAAGTATACTAATGTATGGTATTGTGTATTTCAGTGAAGTCTATTGAGGTGCGCCTGTCGTATACGTACGGTTGCATATTATCTATTATCGCTCGTAAGAATCGCAACAATAATGGCCACACGTATCATTACGCTGGGTTTTTGTCGGAAAAAGCGACGTAAACATTCATAAAATAGGCCGTTCATTAACACATTACGTTTCACCCAATACGATTCACTCTAATCGATTAGCACCTGGCACTGCTTGGTAGAGCTAAAAGAGCTGAAGGAAACAACACGTTGAATTGAACTACTGAATATACATACGTTTGCCTGCGTTGATTTGCGTATATGGCTTGCTGATGTAGTTATTGGGGCTTTTACCCCTACCTCAAGACGGGGATGTTCGGACTGGAATACAAAAAAGCTTGCGGCTAACGATCACACAGGGCCGTTCACTCGTCAATGACAGTGGATCAGTGGACGTCATTGTGATTGTTATCGTTTAGGACCGCTTTTCTTTCAACTAGTCAGGCTACGAATTAGCGGCGCAAGACAAAAAAAAAACTTAATAATTAGAGAAAAAATGCCGTGCCGGCCAGGCGTCCTTGCAGTCGCCCTTCTTGCCATAACCGCTATCAGCGCCGTAGGTCTGCACGAAGTTGCTCCAGTCACCCATGTTTATTGCCCAATGGAAATTGAATGGAACAGACTAATACCATAACATTTTGTACTTAAGGCGTTTACTTCCGGGTAAAAAAGTAAGAGCGGTTTTAGACTGAATAACAATTGCGGTATTGATAGTTCTATTGTAGTTTGATTCGTAATTTGCTAGCAGTACAACAAGGAAATAAGGAGTAGAAACGATATGCTGGCTACGTATGGGGTATGACACGAAAAGCTATTGTAACTGGGTATCTAAGAGATGGGCTGTTTCGTCCTGCTCGTGGCCATGGTCTTGCCGAAATTCTCTTGTACTACATATGAAAAATAAAGCCTAACAGTTTTAGCCTCTGATTAAATAAACCTTTGATCGGTCCTTAAAAATATTTTATATCTACTTAGTGATGGTTTGTGAAGAAGGGCATACAAGAAGAAATCTATGCTGTATAATAACAAGATTGCACGATGGTTATCTTCATGAGTAACTCTGGAATTTAACAAAAAAAAAAAATTAATATTGTATAATTTTTCTTGATCTTCTGGACGAACAATTGGTATTACCGTAAGTGATGATGACATATGTTCGGTAGCAACAATGAAACGTTGGGTAAAACGTTTTTAAGGTGCGTTTCCTTCTTTCTGTAAGCTTTCATTGATTACTTGATCGTTTTCGTAACTTCGTATCATACCCGTTCTGCATTTATCGAAACGTTTAAATCAATCAACTGTAAGCTCAAGCGAGCGTATAATGTATCCGCATTTATGTAACCTTCAAATGGCAGTAACTGTGACCATCTCGATGAGCACCTTTTACTTCCTGTAACCGTAGCATTCTTGTAGAAGAGTTAAAGACATAATCAACAAATTCGTTAATAACTCGCTCTGCCTAAGCTCGATGAAAGAAATCGTATCACATCGGATCGTCGCTGATGATTTTTGCTACCGTTCGTCGTCGTCGTCGGCGCAAGCCCCGCCAAATGCGTCAGTGACAGATACAGCTGTAACGGCGACATAAATACTTGGCGGTATCGCAGCACCGGTTCACCTGTGCTCGTACGATGCCATCCAGAAATGTAAAAATATTAGTAACCAGAAAAAGGAGGCTACATGAAGTTAGCGTCAAAAAAGTTTTCTTCTAGTTGCGAGCATCAAACGCTGTGGTAGACTACGAAAGGACATTCTATCCATGTTAGCAAATGCAGGGCAGATCTTCTACCATCGGCGCTTTGCGTCTGCGGCTGTCGTTGTTGTTTATCATTTTATGGACGGTGGCTAGATAGGCCAAAGACCGCAAAGTCTGGTGTGAACAGTAAACACCCGAGCAAAGATTTACTAGCATAAGCCGATGTAAACCATCTAATCAGCCACAATGGGCGCTGGACGGGTACTAAACATACGCGGAGGGCGTGCAAGTTTCTAGGGCATGACCTCTTACTGAGACAAACGCGGCGCCCGTTAACTGTTTTGGAACGAGCTTTTCCCACTTTGGCCAGCAATTGGCAACAAACACAACGACCAAGAAAACAGCATTAACGTTAATACTAAAAGGATATACGAAGAACGTCACCGTTTCTTCTCCCCTGTTTCCACGTCTGCTCGTAGTATTTCACTATAAGAACTCAGTGTCGGCAGCAGCGATTAGCACGATCGTGTACGCCTTAACGGTAGTGACAAATCATTAATGACTGTGGCCGCGATGACGAAAAACGGTAAGACTACAGCTCCCGCTAGGGATGTGGCTGCAGTAAAAGGCGTACTCGCACAGAATTACAAGATAAGAAGACAGTCGTGGGAACCGGGAACAACAATAGTACGGAAGCGTGAGTTGGAGAACCGATTAGGGACCGGCCTTGATAAACGAAAGAATAAACATAGAGGAAATAAGTAACTGTGTGAAAAAGACAATCAGGAGGCAGCGCAATACTCTAGAGAAAGATTCTCTTTTGAGTAAACCGCAACAGATGACGAAAATGCAGCCTTTCAACTGTTCGTCTACCGAACGTTTCCAGATATTGTTACGTTAACGGCCCTAGTAACGGTTGTGTAGCTATCCGTTGAAAGTATTGAAGGGCCAAGAGATGAAGGAAGGCTAGAGAGGGAGAGAGAGAGAGAGAAATGCTTCTCTGCGTTGGGCATGTGCAGACGCACGTTGAACAACAGATTCAGTGTTGATGTGATTTGCTTATAGTTGCTATAGCGATTTTTTTCTGACCCGGGTCATTTACGCGGTTTGTTGGCGTTCAAATTTGGCTTTGTTGAGTAGACGCAGTATTCTGATAGTCTTTGCCTGTGCTGCCACTCGTAACGACGCTATGTAGATGCTAGGAATAAACGCTTATTATTTGAACTGTTCCTTTCCGCCGTTCGGTCTCCGAACAATTTTGTTTGCTATTTGTCCAGAGGAGAGGCTTTACCGTCAGAAACAAGTGACACAGTTAGCGGACACGCGTTGATTCCTTCCTTTGATTTTCTGCTGGGCTGAACGCTGCCGAGTCGAAACGGGGAAGAACTGGCAATAGTGAAGACACGATATCTTGGCGGCATCCGTAGCGCCCACGGTGCAATGTCCACAACTACATACAGATCTGGATACATACATTACTGAATAAGGCAGTAAACAGTGGTGCATGACGATATTGCTCTTCTGAAGAATTTTAGCAATAACAATTTAGCAAAGCCTTATTTCTTAACTGATTACATGGCGATTCATAATCTATAGTAATTCTAAAGCGCGAAGAAGTCAGATAACATAAAGCAACGTAATCGGCACTTGACGGTAGGACAACCGTTAGCATCAACAGGCTAAATGATAAGAGCTTATAAGGTGGCGTGCCGATTATTAGTCGATGATGCCGATAACAACAATACTTCTATTGCCGCTGTAGTCGCTGCAAGCCGCTTCGAATACATACAAAAGCAAAAAATGTACATGGTACATTGGAATATTAGGACTATTTTTTTCGTATGGAGACAACCGCAGATATGGTACGCTGTAGAAGAAAGTACGCGTATATTTGGTTACAGCATTAACATGATTATTTTTATGGGAAATGAGTGCACGCACGTGCTTACTCTGGGGCACATACCCGGGTGGACTAATGGGTGCAGCACTAGGCTACTTTGGAGTCCACCTTACATTAAGAACATCACACATCCAGTAGTATCTTTTTTATGAGTAAAACTGATTGTTACGTCGTTTAAAGGGATTGAAAATTAAGTATTAACTATGTGAGATGAAGCGTTTTTTCTAAGAAAAAAACCTCAGCGCAGTCATCCATTGTAAGGGGCCAGCTCTGGGGACAAATATTTGTCTACCAATGCAGCTGAATACAGAAAGATTATATAGAGAGAATAGCAGTCAGTTGGGCTTTATTGGATAGCGCATCCAATCCAAGCGTTAACGATAAGTCGTTAATAGAATTTGGTTGTGCTCATTATTATGATAACTATATTCAAATGTTTATTTGAAATAAATTTGACACAAATTAATAATGTTTCATAGGAGAAGTCAATTGATGAGTCAATAAGGCACTCCGAGCTGCTATCCTTTCCAGATAATCGTATTGTTCCTACTCTCTATTTTTTTATGGTTACTATGTGAAGAAATCCTCATTTTAATTATCTCTCTCGTTTAATTTCCCGAGAAAAAAGATCTAGCCGGGGCCGATCTTGCTGGACTTAATTGGGGTACTTCCAATAAAGCTATGAAATAGCAGTAATATTCTGTGGTGACACTGGGATTTCAATCAGCCATAATCGTATGGTCCTGGTTATCATTTCATGGTCATCATCAGCACTTGGAGAAATGAGCGTGGGTCTCCCACGCTACATCACTGTGACATTTAGAAAGCTGCTAATACATTCACTATATTGATCTTATCCCCATACTCCGCTATGCTACACCATGAATATACACTGAAAGATCACTGTCACTCTGAACCATTTATCACTGTATCTGGCGAGACATTTTTGTATTTGTATATAGGCCTCATACTTTCCTCCCAATTCTTGTTTCGCTTGTGATCGCTTCCGCCGCTTCATCGCTCTCTAATAGCGTCAACTATTGATCTTGTCAAACCTTTCCGTTGAGATCCCGCTTTTCTGCCCAGGACCACTAACTATATCAAGCCCTTCAGCCCGCGTCTAGCGTACAATCATTATTTCTATCAGCATTATCAAAGATGTCACACTTTTTCCATCAGTAATCTGAAGCGCGACGGGGTGTCGGCATTAAGCTCAAGCTCACATCATTATTGTACTCACGAAGTACCAATACAATGTAGGCTATGCGAGCAGTAGAGTAGATGGCGAAAAAATCGTTTTTATCTGTCTTTACGATAACAATAATGACATTCATCGAAACTGACAGCATCAGCAACACCAGTGATAACAGTTATTTTAATAGTTTTTCTAAAGCACTATAGCTGAACGCATAGCTGCAATTCCTGACAACCGATAGGAATGGAGTGTCGCCGTCAGCCAATGGCTATCTTCCCAGAGGCCGGCGGCCGAGTTGATATATCGTTACTGATATAGACATCAGCTTAACATTGGTATCGTCGGTCAAAGAAAGCTTTTCTCTCGTAGGAAAAGAGCTAGTGTTTGGCTGTTCTCCGCAGTGAGGTACCATCTTGACACATCGACGCTCCTTTGATGAGCATCGGCAGCATCTATTCCACAATGCTACGAGCATCTAAATCAACTATGACAATGGCCACGGTAACCATCAGCAAACCGGCAGATGGATGGACAGCGTCAACAAATCCTGGTGATGTATTCTACACGTGATCATGTCAACGCGCTTAATCGCCTGTAAGTCACCCTTCTGTCTATAGGCGTTCGAACCTATTCTTCGAGGAAATTGTTTGCGTCACGCTCAGCTCAATATTTTTCAGTTATGTTAACGCTAATGGTGGTAGCTTGAAGATACAATTTGACGAAATTCGACAGGACTACCCGATTTGTTCGCCAGACATTTTGGCTTCTTGTGTGACACTTTCAACACGCGCATAAATAGTAAAATTGACGGATATTGCATTGAACCAAGACTATGCTGATATAAGTGAGCTTTTACATTGAGTGCCGATCGAATAGCTACAGAATGGCAAGAGTAGCCACTGCTGACCAACGAATTTCAACTGGTAGTATGGAAACTAGATTACGTCTTTTGGACAGTTTTTTCCTCCATAGCCATAAGGGCAAGTGGCTGTTTTTGCCCTTCCTGTCTGGTTTACTTGTAGCATTAGATGAATAGTCTCATTCCGGATGAGATAATCGAGAATTGCGCAATAATAAATAACGCACTTTTTTGGAATTCTTTTTTATCGCCTGGCGACACCAAGTGAATCAAGTAGATGTAAGGCCAAGTCTACGAGGAAAAGGGGCAGGCGACGTTCAAAGCGAAAAAAACACCATGTCTTAGCTGTGTAGCTAGTTGTGTAAAACCTGTAAACTATAATCATCAGGATACGAAGGTTCTACCAGTAAAATAAACCGTACGTTACTTGTGAGATTGAGACAGGTAAGTATACAGTAACAGAAGCCTTTCGCTAGCTAACTTCGATCTGTATGTACTATTGTTACTACCAAAATATGTAACACGTTGGGTTTCTTCACAGAGACAAGTATCTACTTAGAACTATATGAGATTTGCGTTATATAGCTGATGCGTATTCGATGAACGTAGCGTGAAGCTCTGCTCTGAGGCATACGTTCCGCCGCGAGCGACAGATACTGTTCGTCACTGTTTCTATATCTACATCGACACGTTTTGCTTCTTTTGATGCTCTCAATTCCTCCAGTCGGGTTTTTGCACACGGTAGGAGACAGCTCAGTGGTCCAGGTCGGGTAGGACTGACGTTTTTTTATGGAACTAGCTAATGATGTTTGCGCTGATTATTAATTGATTGCATGCAGATTTTATATTGAAGCTGTTCCGCTGTCCGCCTAAGGCTATCTGAACGTGTTGACTGACAAGTTAGCTGTTTACTACGAAGATGAATGTTGAATGTATCTTCATATGGAATTTGGCAAGATTCAAATTGTGTGCCGTGCTTCGGCTTTCCGAACGAACTTATATCCGGCGTCTAACTTAAAGATGCACAGGCTTAAAACGTAATTGAATCTATACAGACTTCAAAAGGCCTTATGCTATATTTACCGATAGAACATCCAGTTGGGACAATAATAGGACAATGGATCTTGTTTCAAGCCGCTCTTCACAATTCTTCATATGTATCCCATGTCTTTTATGTGAAGTTACGGACAAAAGGTAAACTGTAACTCATAAACATTTATGGAACGGCTTATTGTAAAAAGTTACATTAGCGGACTATAGTGTTCGTAGTGAACGGTGTATAATAGCAGATATTTCTAAAAGAAAATACACGCTCCTCCATGTTCTGCTATAAAGGAAAAACAAATTAACCTCCATAGTGTTTATAGAACTACAGCCTTAACCAGGTGGCTTTGAGCCATACAACGGCAACTTATATTATTAATATTAAACGTTACAAAACAAGCCCAATAGGGACTGTATCTCAGCGCTCGTAGATTTTTGTACACACATCTCATTGTGAGTACTAACAATATGTTGATACAGACATTACTAACGTGTGACCTAGTTGCTTTGATTGAAAATTCGAACGTCGCAAGGATTCGAAACGTATCCTATGAAAAAAATCTTCTTACATGATAGGCGTTTCAACTAGAGTAAACAAACTCATAGTAGCGCAATGTCGACATTTCCTGCGATGATTTCATTGGTTTAATATAGAAGATCGTTCGTCTAAATCGCGGTGTGTTCCTTTCGCATTTAGTGCAAGTATGCACCGACCTGCAGCTCGTTGTCGTTCAGCAGCCATATGGTAGGTCTAATTCTACGACTGAAAACAAAGTGATAAATGACATGGAAGAAGATTCACACTGACATACGCATACATGCAGCGCACTGCTAGGTCTGCCGTTCAAAACCTTCGTAAACGCCCTATTCCTGAAGCAGATCGTCTGCTCTTCCTGAAGTCACCTAACTGAACCAAGCACATCATTTTATAGCTAGATCAAGGAGTTTATATGATGCGTAAGTCTGTAGTTCCTTCAACATGTGTAGGTATTTATTATGTGATACACTATCTATTCGCAGCGGCCGTTTGTTTGCTCGTCGGTTTTACGTTTGGTACGCGTAACAGGTTGCAACCAAGCGCAAAGCTCGACTGTTGCAGCGTAGTTATAGTCCCCCTTTTAGTTGGTCTTACAGTAACACGAGACTTACTGGTAACTGGTAAGTGGTGCAAGCGTCGTCACTGATAAGAACAGTAGGCCCAATGGCCTATTGCATGCTCTCGTTATGTTCCCCATCATTATGATGTGTGTGCAATACTGGTAATGATTACGACATATAATGTACGGAAACTAGTTGCGAAATGGTGCGGAATGGAAACATAAAACGGAAGCTTGTCAACATCCCTACCGGCATCGTCGAGCATGGACGCTCAGCTTGATCACGGTCAAGCTGCACCAGCAGTCTCATCATTACCAACAGCAGAAGCCAGACCGGTAGCAGTCTTTAACGGGAGACAAAGACGGCTGTGGCAATGCCTGCTGGGGGCAGTCAAGCGGAGCTGTCGTTTGGCTGACAGAACACTGAGGTCAAATGGTGACCTTTTTGTTATTGGGCGAGGTTACTGAGCTGGAAGGCCACGCAGGATCTTACTGGGCTAAGATAAAAGAGAAAAACCACGAGCGAAATCCAACGACCCTTCCAACTTGTTCTTTTTTTTTTAACGGTTGGAGCGATACAGCGACAGCACGGTCATGTGTGCATGTGCGTGCGTGTATATATACAGCACGCAGGTTTCGTCTAGGCAGGTTTGCTATATCAAAGGAGACAACGCAGTTAAGAAGACGCCGCCGCTAGCTGATCCATTTCCGGGACATCTTCAAAGAAGTAGCTAACAGGGATAGTTCTACGTATGCATATGTATGTTGTAAAGACTAGAGGACCCATGGCACACATGAGGAGACACAGAGAGCCTAAGGTTGCAATGTACTCACCACTGACCGAGTCCTTTACGCTTCTGATTGAACGCATTCTGAAACGCACACATTTCCCTACCATTATCATGTCTAAACTGTAGTCTGTAGCTCATCGCCTACTGTAGAACTCGTTGATTCAGGTGTATTATATTAGCTATGTATATATCGATTAATCTGCTAATTGCGACGAGGCGACCAATGGCAGCCATGAAGTAAATGCTCTACAGTATCTGACCCTTGACACGTACTGCATGCAGAGCATTTGGTGGCTTGCGGTGCACAACAAATACCACTATTATAGACGACGCCATTGCTGCTACTCACAAATCGTTATTAAATAGCAGGCCAGCCTCTCGCCACTTCGTCTGCTAATGAGAAGTCGTGTGCATTTTATTCAGCCGACGGCAATCAACAAATGCATACGAGACGAGACGAGACAGAATGGGTCGCTCGCTACTCTGTGTTGACCATCCTATTTACCTACCGGCTACGTGCCGACCGGTCGGGTCGGTTCTTTCTATATAGGCCATTGCAATAGTCATATATTGTTACATGGATACGCTAAATTTATTATATAAAATGCTACGAGATGTTAGATGAAACGGTGCGTCATTGAACAACATCCGCCGTATCGGAATTACACGGCCAATGATTAACGTTGTGATCTTTGTTTACTGACGGCAATGCTCGAACGTAGTGCGGTGTAGCTTTACTGTCTTCCCTTGCGTACCACATCGATCACTTTTTTCAGGCGTTTCCGTACGATAGCCATACGTCTGCAATGATAGACCCGATACTTGAATACAACGTTTACAGCTGATCTTTGGCACCTGGTGCCTTATTTTTATCGTAGAGGGATCTCCCCTCCTCACCGCTCCCCGTTTCCTGCCGCTGAGGTGGTATTAGTCGCAATGACTCTACCAGTTCAATATTAGATGAAATCTAGCTCTTGTTATCTCAATAGTGTATTAACGGGATTTTTTCCTCTCAAGTAGATACGTGCTTTTTTAGCTAGGTGTACCGTTTCTACTAGTTGCGTCTTCGTTAGAGCATGAAGCTATAATAGCTACTAATTAACAAAGCAAATGTCTGAATAATTGACAGAAGAGTTGGATCCATAGCACGGACAAACGCGGGTCGGGTCAACGCTACCTGATTAAGGATAGTAATGAAATGGATAGTATATCTTACAGAATGTATGGATTCACTAGAACTGTATGAAAAACTCTCGATAATTAACCATCCAACAGTTGCCCCACATGCGTCCCTGGATTCGGAAGATCTAAATATTAAGTACGTATGACGATGTAAGACACGTTCGTCGCTCTTACTTAAATTCGATCTCAGTAACATGGCCTGTCACTAGCAAAATAGCAACGAATATAAAAGCTTCCTACGGAGTCAGTGTTGCGTAATTTCAATGTTGCTCATTCTACAGATTTTGCATAGAGTTACAGAAGGGCATGTTCTGTTGTAATAAAGGAATCTGAATTTCGTTATCGATAATGGCCTAAACGGATTGATAAGGTACGATAAAGCCGGGTATTTTTTTCTGTCAAATAATACCAGGGCAGAGATCTCGATAAGTTCGAAGAAAGTCAAACATGTATAATGCACATAGCTATTTAATGAAATGGCATAGAAGAACCATTGAAGATAAAAAAAGACGTGCTATCTCGTGAAGCAAGACGTGAAATAGTTTTACGCGGATAATTACATTCCATTTTTCGTTTATACGTATAAGCGAAATATACGTATATATACCTACGTATGTTGCCAATAGAGAGATTGCTAGCCAACTTCTGACGTGTTTAGCACGTGACAGAAGACTAAGAGCTTGACGAAAATTTTGACTATAGACCACATTTATATAAGAACTGTAGCTAAAATAAGGCGTATTTTTTTCTGAATGCAAAAATACACGTCACTGCGTCGTCACAACGTCGAAGTTGAAGACTAAATGAATCAGGCTTGCGTTTCACATGTGATGATACCCTTGTCGTTACTCAAATATAACCAACGTCTTACCCGTTCGAATTCTCGTTTTCCCTGTCAAATATGACGAATTACCTACGGACAACGACTCAACCTCATTTACCTCGCTTCTCTTGCTATGAGCCTGCTGTCATGAACAGATAGCCATCAAATAATAAACCATTTGTCATTATTAATTCGCCATCGCTGCCAAATGCAAATGTAACATCTTGTTTGCTGAGTCGTCGAACACGATGTCTTTAGGTGATGAAGCCCTTAATGTTGGCAAAGTCTGCTTTCAACATACACGTGTGTGCGTCCGATAGCCTGAACAGCCTGATATTGTCCATAGATACCATCTAACAATAGATTCATAACGCGCAGCAGCGTTGTCGCCGTGGTTGGGGCAATTGCTGCCGTCGCATCTGCGTCTGGGTTGGAAGGTCACAAGCATCAGTCTACTGCTTACCTAGTGCCTTTGAAAAGAACCACTTATTTTGATATAATCATCATTGTGGTGCGCAGGCCAGTTCCCCATAACACCCCAGTCATCATCATCACCACCACCACCACCACCTTCGGCGGTGCCATCACCCCCGCTATTATCATTCACTCACATAGAGCCTACAGCTGTCGCCGTATCGTACTACCGTTGCCGGCATCGACAAGTGCACGTGTTCTTGTGGCGGCGATGACGGTCTTAGATAGAATGTCGCATATGGTTCTAAGGGGTCCAAGTCATGTAATCGATGCTAAAGCACACGCAACGTTTACAAAGGCATATATAGGTCTATGTAGATCCCCCGGGACTTAGTCGAAACATATATAAGTTTCAATCGATTTTGTCGCGTCTCGTCAGCAAAGCTATTGATTGTGTTATGGCTACGATATGTGTGCGTGTCAGTTCGCCTTCTACATAACCCAGTCCGTCATCGTGTTTCGCTATAGGCCCACCACACTTGTCTAATTGACATTCGATGACCAGAACTGCGCTGTTGGCCTATTTTTACATACGTATATATATACTCGCAGTAGAAACAGTAGCATGTATATTCAATAACTGCTGCTGCTGTTGCTTCTGCTGGTCTGCCGGTCGAGACGAAGCGACGACGATAATAGGACAGTTGTATTGATTGTTCGCAAGCAACCCTGTGTCACTGTCTTTACCCCACCATCAGGTCCCCCCTTAGATAATTCAACTGTCAATGGTAATGGCGATTATAATAATAACAGCAAGCATTGTAGATATGTCAACGTGACGACGACTCTGTCTCTGATAAATAAAGAAAAATCAAAGGACAGTTTCTAAGCAACGAAACACAACAGCTATTCTAACTGTTAATTCTAACGGCGAATGTCGCCAATGATTAGGTGGTGTGAAGTGTTCTGTTAAGATATTTGATCTTATCGATAAAACTGCATAAACAACCCCGTACGGGGGCATCAGATGTGTAGTTAGGTCTGGCTCTGTCTAGCTGAAAGTTGTTACCGAAGACGACCCACTTTACCGCTATCGAAATGTCACTGCACTGTCATCGTACTCATTCGTCCTAGTTCAATAGTCGATGTAAATAAAGAGCGTAATTATTATTAGAGTGTATATTTCATTGTCTTCTTACGCAATGGCTTTTGGAGTAGTCACAATGGTGCAGACGTACATCGGATGCCAACTGTGAAACATTAACATTACCAAACGATTGGCTTGCGACACGGGCGTCTGGAAATGCAATATTGATAACCATCTTTTATCGAACATCAATAACTTCGATGACAGAAGATGGATGTTGGAACTTCATTGACCACCGGTTGCTTTCAACGATAGCGACACACAACGGGAGACGGGCTGTGACTCAGGCGGCGCTCGGATCAAAAGGACTTTCAGTGATGAAGCCTATGGTAGAATATTGTGAGACAACAACTACCAGTAGTGACCAGCTTTATAGGGAATGAGTTGAAGATCCAATCTTTCAACATGCGCGATCATTTTTCAGCAAATAAGAGCTAATCCTTTGTCATTGGGCGTTTCACATGATACAACACGATGCTATCTGCACGTGACACTTGTTTAAAACGTACTTCATTTCGGTTTCAGATCGAAACTTTGCTCAAGTTTCGATCTACATGTGCATATATATATGTATATATATATATAGTGTGTTGTACATGTATAACTGCTGGCGTATTTTTTCATACGAATCGAGGAACACACATATTACTATTATTACCTATATTATCAAAGCTAAAAACAACTGGCGATTGGAACAGCTGTGCTTCAGTGTAATATCTGCTAGCTTAGTAAAGTACAAAGAAACTAACCTATAGTAGTTGGAAATAGCGCTAAGCACGTCCCCTACATAATCGTTATAAAAAGGCGGTAATCGTTTGCTCGTATAGGTATCGCTGTTCTGAATGCTGCCTATGAAAAGAAGAGGATAAACACCGTCCGAAAAAAAGAGGGACGATTTGTTTCACAACGACTCCCCTGTGCCCATTGCCCATCAGCAGTGCTCGCTAACAGGGGGCATCCATTTGTTTTGCGAGCTAACAGCTAGTCGTCAACGGCGGAGGCAGCAGGCAGTGCACAAATGCTGGACATCGCAGGGCAAACGACGCAGCATCGACAGGCAACGGTCGGCCTATCGTCGTAACTGTGACTAGACGGATTACCGTGTGCAGACTGAACTAGGATATGCATGGCTATTGGACATGGCAGCTACCGCTAGTGAAGCACAGGGTCCAACCAATTGCTACGAAATGTTCAGACGCCTCTTGTACGGAGAATTGACTTTGAACGCCACTAGGTAGTAGTACATCCGTGCATTTTGTTCTAAGCTTTTTCTTTATTATGCAATAGCGGATAGCAGTGATTAGTGTTCATCGCTCGTTTATAGGGGATTCTGCCTTCCAAGTAACCCCATATATGACATAGTGGGCTCGTTCTCTTCCTTGAGCTCCGAAGCGATGTTATGATATTCAGTGCGCGCTTTCAACTTAGTGGTTTTAGTTCAAGGACTTTCTGCCAGTGTTCTCCCAATGGACAATACGTTGTTTCGCATTCCCTGACGTTGTTAGCAATATTGTCCTAGGTCAACAACGAATGAACGATTTGGTGCTGAAGTGGACTCGCTGGAGTCGAACAAGATGAGGAGAACGATGCCAAAAGCAGTAGTTGCGCTTCAAGTTAATGTGGTTACCGTTGACAAGCACCGTAGTCTATATTGTAATTTGTTTGGTTAATGAGCTATCATGGACATTGGTCTGATCAGAAGCAGCAGTCATCAGTGCCGTAA